AATGATGTCATAATAACCGTGTTGACACCGGGCTGCTTAAGTAAAATTTTAATTTGCATTAGTTTACTTCGCATTAGCTGTCGTGTGAACGCAATTTAATTCACATTAGTTTGATTCGCATTAGTTTACTTCGCATTAATTTACTGGAATTAAACTCTCCGGTGAACAGGGCATTATATTGTACGTCATAGGGGGACCAGAGGTCACCTTATATGTACATTGATACAGGGGGACCAGAGGTCACCTTATATGTATATCAATAGGGGACCAGAGGTCAACACAAGGGGGACCAGAAGTCAACTTATATTGTTCATCAAAAGGGGGACCAGAGGTCACCATACATGTAAATCGAATAAAATGCATATTAACAACTCATCTGGTCCCCCTATCGATGTACAATATAAGGTGACCTCTGGTCCCCTATTAATGTATGTAAAAGGTGCTGTCTGTCCTCCCTTTCTTATGTACAATATAAGGTGACTTTTAGTCCCCCTTTTGATGTACAATATAAGGTGACCTCTACTCCCCTATATGTATTGATGTACATATAAGGTGACCACTGGTCCCCTATCGATGTACATATAAGGTGATCTCTGGTCCCCCTATCGATGCACATAAAAGTTAACCTCTGGTTCCCTAAAGATGTACATATAAGTTGACCTGTGGCTCCCTATTGATGTGCAAATTACTAAGGTGACCGCTGGTCTCTGTATTGATGTACAATATAAGTTGACCTCTTGGTACGCGAAAATATACAGTCACCATTTCAACTCGTTGGATAAAGCCAATATGAAATCACACAATTGAACACAGGAAGAAACAAGACCATTCAGTTAAAACTGAAAGGCGGCTTTCAGTGACTTTTCAGTGGCCATTCAGCCACTGAATGGCACATACATTTCAGTGACTTTTCAGTTGCCTTTCAGTCACATTTCAGATACCTTTCAGTCACCATTCAGCGGACACATTTCCGTCATCTTTCAGTGACCTTTCCGTCAACTTTCAGTGACTTTTCCGTCAACTTTCAGTGACCTTTCTGTCGACTTTCAGTGACCTTTCCGTCGACTTTCAGTGACCATTCCGCAATCTTTCAGTGATATTCTAGTCTCAATGTAGCGATTTTTTTCAATAGCTTATTGATTTATAATCAGATATTTTTCCTTAACAATGAGGCGATATTTTGAATAAAGATTTATTATTCAATCTTAATTGTGTGTTTTTTTTCTCACAGTTATTAAATTCTGGTACGTTAAAAAATGTGTCTAAATAATATTACAATTTTAAAAAATAAATGATACTAATTCAAAATGATTTATAATTTTCTAATTTGTTATAGAAAACAAAAAGTTTTGAAGTGATAAATAAAATGATGTTCCGATAATTGAATCAAAATTTAAATAAATACTGTATAACACATTATATGGTGCTTATACGTGTATTTTTCATGGAAATAAGTAGATTTGAATTCATACTATTTACACCTTTTATAAATTTCGTTTCTTAATTGTCAAAACCGCCAGGATATGTTAGCTTTTGTAAAACATCCTTTTAAAATCATTTTATATGGATAGAAAAAAAATCATTTATACATGCCTTTTGTAAAAAAAAAAAAAATATTGTAGATTTATGCTTTTTAAATGATATTGTTGTAAAATTATTCTTCTAAGTTTCTAGATAGAGAATTTACAATGAAACAGGAACAGGTGCCCGTCGCTGATAATTGTCATCATCCCGATAGGAGATGTGTAATTAATCAGTCTGTCCCCAAAATCCGCGCAACTAACATAGAATATACAAACGATATACAAGATATATACACATCACAGCTCCTCGATACACCAGCTGAACCGATTGTTCGATCGATTTCTACAATTTGATTGATTTTAAATCCCTATTAAACAACAAGAAGTCGTAGCGTAATTGATAAGGTCGCGGACACTCACGGTGGAGAACCAGGTTGAATTCCGGCCGTGTCCACAATTTTTTTTTTCATCATTCTTTTCCCCCTCTTTTTTATTCGTAATTAGATAAATTTAATGCTATTATACCAGGAAATAGTGAAATAATTTTTTTAAGTTAAAAAATAAGCCGATTATTCAATAAAAAGATGCAACTGAATGATAACTGAAAGGTCACTGAAATGTATGTGCCATTCAGTCGACTGAATGGAAACTGAATGATCACGGAATGGTCAATGGAAAGGTTCTTTTCAGTGACCTTTCAGTGACCATTCAGTGGGCATTCAGTTACCATTCAGTCGACTGAATGGTGGATTTTCATCCTGTGGAAGATGTTCTATTTATCTCATACGACTTTCGTTTTAACAAAACTAGACTAGTCCCCTGCGAAAATACATGATTGATTGCCAATTCAAATTGATGATGTTTAACTTCATGACGTAGCACCTTTGAAGTTGACATGCCTCGAAAGAAAATAGATCATGTTTAAAATTTAGAATTTTTTGCTATCTGCATAAAAACATTATGTGACCCTCTAGATGTGGTACTCCTATTGATTGTACAAAGTTAGGTGACCACTGGTATGGTCCCCCTATTGATGTACAATAAAGGTGCCCTCTGGTCCCCTAATGTTGTACATATAAGGTGACCTCTAGATCTGGTCCCCCTATTGATTTACATATAAGGTGACCTCTTGTCCCCTATTGATTTACATATAATAAGGTGACCTCTAGATCTGGTCCCACTATTGATGTGCAATATAAGGTGACCTCTGGTCCCCTGTTGATTTACATATAAGGTCACCTATGTGCCCCCCATCGATGTACATATAAATATACCTCTGGTCCCCCTATCGATGTACATAAAAGTCTGGTTCCCTAAAGATATACATAAAAGGTGACCTATGGCCCCCTATTGATGTGCATACAAGGTGACCTCTGGTCTCCCTATTAATGTACATATAAATTAGGGATGTCAATGAATAGTCGACTATTGGTCTATCGGTCGAATGGACTGACGATTGAATAATGAAACGATATTCGAATATTTAATAAATGCAAAAAAAAAGGAGGTGTAAAAGAATTCTCAACTCAGAATTGTAAAGCATCATTCCTCAAACCATTGTAGTATCCATCCTCAGACGAATAAGAGCTAAAGTCATTACATAAATAAGTTTCACATAGTACACAAGACATGGAAAGTACAGTAATTACATACCACGATAATTATTCCTCAATTACTGACCTTTTTTTGGGTATTGTAGTAAATTATGCAGAGCTTTACTGGACTTTGAAAAGTATTTATTGGACTTGTACCAATTATAAATTTATTTATTACCTCTAAGAATGTTTAAACTATGCTATAGGAACACAGCATAGCCGTGAAGTTTGAAACTTCGATAATTATAAAACAATAATCTCCTCCCCTTTTCCAATTTATTTTAAAAAAGCTTTATAAACACTGTGCTGACAATTCTTTGACAATTCTCTAGGCATACTAGAACAAAAGAATGTACAGATCAATTTATGAATGTGACTTACGAAAGTTCATAAATTTTGGAGAATCAATTGCTTGTGTAAATCTATTTCATTTCTACATCTTATCCAAACTTAAGGTTCATCTGAATATCTGTGTGTAACACACAGTATAGGTATTTGATGTTACTTTTTACATAAATTTACGAAAAGGGTTTTTGATTTATAAAAACGCTATCGATGAGATTTATTTTCAAAAAATGCTCCGAATAGTCGACTATCGTTCGAATAATGCAATCGAATGTTCGACTAAGGAAAATAAATATTTTGACATCCCTAATATAAATTGACCCTCTAGATGTGGTACTCCCTTTGATTGTACAATATAAGGTGACCACTGGTCCCCTATTGATGTACAATAAAGGTGCCCTCTGGTCCTCTAATGATGTACATAAAAGGTGACCTCTAGACCCCCTATTAATGTGCAATATAAAATGACATCTGGTCCCCTAATGATGTACAATGAAAGGTACCCTCTGGTCCCCTAAAGATGTACATATACAGTGACCTCTGGTTTTCCTTGTAATATACTTTTAAGGTGACCTATAGATCTGCTCCCCCTATTGATGTACAATATATGGTGACCTCTGGTCCCCAATTGTTTTACATATGAGTTGACCTCTTGTCCCCTCATCGATGTACATATAAGGTGACCTCTGGACCCTCATTAATTTACAATATAAGGTGACCTCTGGTCCCCCTATTAATGTACAATATAAGGTGTCCTCTGGTCATATAAACATTTTGTTACTTCTGGTGTCCGTATAAAGATCATGGAAACAAGCGGTAATTTAAACAATAAAATGCTTTCTTTGTTTGTTATTACTGGAATTAATGGAAGCAGCTGTTGCAGAAAAAATACATAACCCCCTTACGCGGGTTATGTAAATTTTTTCTGTAAGAGCTGCAACCGTTAATTCCAGTAATAACAAACAAAGAAACATGCCCGATAGTTGTGAACTGAGCAAGGGGACCTAGGGCCTAGTTGAGTGTACGTTTTATCCTTCTGCACAATACCCTGATAAAGGTATATAGCTTGATTAAGCAATATAGCTTTATCAAGGTATTACAAATACCTTGATCAAGGTATTTTATGTAATGAAAATTCAAAAAAATCTTAGAAATTTAAATACTGAAAGGCGAGTTCTGAGTTGTTGTCAGTAAATTCACCCATGCATGTAAAGTACTTGAACACAAAGACATCAGTATAAAAGCATGTCGTGTGAGGAGACGTTCCTTTATGCTTTCTTTTTGATACCAGAGTGCTTTTCATGCACGAGTAGACACACTGATATTTAATATCATATTAAATTATATTATATTTGCATATTGTTCAGACAAGTATTTTTATGACCTTTGGTCTTTTATTATAACCATTAAAAGGCATATTATTAAATATTTTGCAGATTTTAATGTTTAATAGTAGATTTACTTGTAAATTGTGCCAATGATTTGAAATCATCTCCATGTAACAATAATTTTATTTTTTTACTTTTTATTTTTGTAGATTAAGACTTCAAATCTTTGAAAGGATCATCTTAAATACCATCTAAAGAAACAGTACCCAGTGATGTCATAATGCTTTATTCATCATAGAATGACAATGAAGGGAGTATTAGTATGTGATACTCCCACTGAAATGTCAGAAAAGCTGTCTTATCTTTGGTTTTTATAAAGGAACTGATTAAATCTTTCAAATAATCATTTCAAACTGCTCAAATGATCTAATTAGGAAGACTGTTATTTTCTGCCAGAAGCAAATTGAAGACATCAGTGGTATGTGTACATGTATATGAAATATTACTGTGACTGGGTGTAACTTCTGTATAAAGAAAATGACAGCTGCTACAGTGAATTCTGGTGAGTTGACAGTAAAAGGACCTAGTGATTGGACATCCTCTGTTTTTGAGGATGAAGACAGAGACTTCACAAACACTTGTCGTCGTACAAGAAATGAAAAGAGCTTAGGAAGGCTGGAGAATGTCGAAGACGAGGAAACTGATCAGCCAGTGACTTTAAAGGATGCCCCTCACCTCAACAAAGGGGAAATAGAAAATGACTTAATATTACAGAATATCCAAGAATTTAACGAGCCAACAATAAAAAGAGACAGGCTCCCAGACAATGTAACATTGCCTACAGATTCTGGATACTATTCTCAGAGTGAGGCTGCATCCTTGGACAACTCAGTAACTTCCATAAGAAGTGAAGAACAATCTTCATCTTGCACTGATTCCAGGGAAAACATTAGTCATCCTTCACTTCTTGTGCAAAGTACATGTACATGTAAAAATGAAATTCTAAATTATGTCAAAGAAACTGTAGAGGACATTTTCAAAAAGACCAAAGAGCTTGGATCTAAAATGGTAGGAAAAAGAACAAAGCGAAAAAAGAAAGCAAAACAATCAAAGAAGAAGAGAAAAACAAAAACAGTTCATGGTAGGAAAATCTTCCAACTTCTTAAACCAGTGGCTAGCAAAGCCATCAGCAGAACTCAGAAGTATTCCTTGTTAAATATTCTAAAAAAGGAAATTAGAAGATATTTTCAACAAAAGAGAAAGCATCGGAAATATGGTAGAAGTAAGCTTCTCAGTTCATTTGTAAAGGCAGCAGGAATCTTGGATTGGAATCAAATCTCATTCAAGAATCTCATGACAGTACATGTATATCCAGTACATTGGATGTGTATGCAGCAAGTGCCAGAGAAAATGAATATCGAATGGCTCCGACTCTGTTCCTTTGCTGATGTCTCCTTTCAGAAGGTATCCAGTTTGCGACTAGCTAAACATGGTTTTTACTTCAATAAAGATAGAGGCAGAATTCAATGTTTTACCTGTGATAAAAGCTACACAAAGCAGGGACTTGAATGTACGGAGGACTGCAATGCCAAGTTGAAGACATCACTGCATGAGGACTGGTGCCTGATTGCTGATGGCAATATCCCAATACACCCAACTCCAGGCAGTAGTCTAGGAATATCAGAAGGTTTGACCTTACTTCTGTTATCATTGTAATACATTATAGATACTGGTTTTTTCTGTATACAAGGTTATTTTCACTGTTTCGCACTTGGGAACAATTTTGCATGTTTTAAATTCGCCCAGTTAAAGATCTGCTTAAGAAATTATGTTGTGTTCTTTGAATTCGCCCCATTTTAAATTCATATGTACATTAATATGACATAACATAGAACTCCATACAAGAGTAACACCAAATCAAAATTTATACTTGCCTTGAACTGAACTATTTCTCATTCAGTTTAGCCATACAGTTCATGTGTGTGTTATTGAAGAATAATTTTATGAAAAGAAGGATTATTAACATGCTGAATGCTGTGTACAATTTTTCAAATGAGAAAAAAAAAATAGAATACAAATCTTTCAACATTTTACATTTAATTATGCAAGTTTTTAATGTCTTTTAGATTTACCATCACAAAACAAAAGACCATTCAAAGATGAGACTGGAAGGATTATCACCTGCCAGGGACTCTGTGGCCTGAACACATTTTTTGTGGATCAAGGAAATATGTTGAAAGAATTCCCATCACTCATTGACAAATATAAAAACTTCAATTTAGGAGATGGTTCCATTAATCCATTCCAAGTAAAATATCTTTTGTATATATCTTTAAAGACTTGCATTTTATTGTAAATAGGATAATTAATTGTCGGTCATTTCCAGTGTGGATTCTTATCATGGAGATAGATTTGATTCAAAATTCCATGCAGATGGTAAATTCTTTAATTGAAATAATAAAATTCCAAGGAGTTAAATTATTAGCTTAATGAGCTTTTCTGGACTTATCACATTTTCATCTAAAGAACCACCGGGGCAATTTCAATGAAACTTAAGACACATGATTGTAGTTTGTTCAAACATGTCAAATGAAAGGGCACACCCTATTCCAAGGAGTGAAAATTGGTTTTAGTAATTTTAAAGTTTTCTTCTCAAGAGAAATGTTTTGAAGACATAAACACGCATTTATTTTCATTTGCATTGAAAAAAAATTCCACAATTTCTTGCTAAAAATTGAAATATTTCTGAGACACAATATATCCTTGTGGTAATTTTTTCAGAATAAATTATTTATTTTTTTCAGGTAAAGAATACTTTAAAATATTCAGAAATATTTCATTTTAGGGGGATAACACTTTAGCTCCACACCTCTTCCGAGGTTAGATAATTAAGAAAAAGTAAAAACTGAGAAAGCTTCCTTACATAATGTAGATTCATGTTTTTCAAATTATGACCCCTGGGGGTAGCATGAGGACACAATTAATGGACAAACTAAATTTTACTTAAGAAACTTTTCAGATCTTTCTCTAGAGAACAATAAAGCTATGGTTGATCATTTTATGTGGAGGCATCCTCAGGTAGTTTGCATTAAAAATTGTTCAAATCATGCCCCCCAGGGGTAGGGAGGGGGCATATTTGGTGATCAAATTTTCACATGAGAATACAGTAAAACACACTTATAGCAAATACACTTATAATGAATTGCCGCTTACAGAGAAGTGATTTTCATTCCCCGTTACTTAATTACCGATTGATATTTATAACAAATTACACTTATACATGTAGCAAAGCTAAATCACCTGTCCCTGGCACTTTCAAGTGTTTTACTTTTAAGAGTGTTTCACTGTACATGTATAAATAGTGTAGATTTAAGTATGAACATATCAACCCCTGGTTCCTCCTTGTTATATGCAATTATTTCCAAGCACTCATATATTAAATCTTTTCAATGCTAAACTGATTTCTGCTTCTTTTAAGCCAATGAGCTCATGTGAGCAATGTGGCCCTTGGGCCACTTGCTTTCAACTGATCCTTAAGCAGTTCATTCCACTTATTTATGTATGTTACTTGCTCAGCTGATGGTTTTGGTTTCATAGAAATACTTACATTTACTTGTGTCATGCAAATATGCTTTATGTGAATTGCTGTTAATGTTCATTTCAAAATGAAAATTACCAGAAGTTTTCATGTAGAACAAAAATGAAATCCACATGATAATTGCTTTGGATTTAATTATTTGCAATTCATGAAACTTTTTTTTGCTCAAAATTTTGAAAGTATTTGGATTTTTGAACCAAACTAATAATGATTGACACTCTACATAGTTAAAATATGTACACTGCTTTATATTTTTAGGTCATATTTGCTATGTTAAGGAAAGGGGAGAAGAATTCTGCCAGAGGAATGAGGGAGATTCTTCTACATACAAATCTAATATCACCAAGTGTAACGACCATCAAACAGTTTCATTTTGAATTGATAAATTTTGTGTGTGAACTGATGAAAGGAAAGATAATAGTCAAAGGAAAATGTGCCTGTCCCGTAGAAAGAGTCAACAAAGAAGAACAGATTTATATCTCGTAAGACACATTACATGCCAAAGAAGTAGAATTTTTTGTTTTAAATTAATTTGCTCCTAAAATCAAACTTTGATGGAGAAATATATAAATATATTCTAAAATGGGGGAATATCTGCTGACTTCAAAGCACTGAATATTTTCATAAGCAATGATGCCATCTGTTTGAAATGATGTCAGGAAAATGACATAAATTTAACGAGGCCGAGTCTAATTCGAGTGCGCATCACTTTGCGCAGCTTTTTAATTTCATGCAGTCATTTGTGTGACAGTACACCTTTGAAAATTATTTTGATTTTAATACAAAATTAACATTATCTGTAACTCCTACTGGTCTGAAAATGTGATTTTATGACAATAATAGGAAAAAGAACGTTGAAATGGCCCTAACAACGTCACCGTTTTCGGATTTTTTAAGCAATACATGATGCTGAAAAATGACGCATGACTAGTTGTATGTTCAAGACGTCCATGGATTTTTTATTAAAAACTGATGACAGATCTTCCCAAGAAACATACTAGCAATCTAAAAATTGCTATTTTTACCCCCAAAAAAATTGTATGCACCGATGATTACCTGCAAAGATGTATTTATACTGTAATATGGCAATTTTAGAGGTTAATGGGCTTTAGTAATAAATACCTAGACCAACCTAGATGGTGAACTTTTTTGAAATTTCACAGTTTGGTGACTTTTTACATTAACTTTCATCTACTTGAATGAAAAAGAAATCTCTAGGGCAGAAATACAAAAAATGTGGGGAAAATATGGTAATTCTGCACTTTTCCAACAAATTCCCATAGGGTCCAATAGTAAAGTTTGACAACTTTTGAGATGGCCCCCTAAGAAATCGGGGTGGTAAACATTCGATTTTTTAATCCAAAAACAATAAATATAACAGTAAAAATTAATTATCAAAAAATTATCAAAATCCCTAGGGCTGAAATAATTAGACTCGGCCTCATTAAAATTTCCGTGATTTCTACAGAAAAAGATATATATTACGTTGATATTTTGAGTAAAAGTCACCCAGCGCAGGTCTGTTCAAGCTCAATACATGTATTTTGATATAATATTTAGAATGATAATATCAATGAAATATATGAATATCATTCATGAGTAGGCCTGTGCTGTATAAATTTTATATCTAAAATTGTTAAAATTTTGTCCTTTTTCTAAAAATAGTATGAAATCCAACTAGTTTGTGATGTCATAGAAACAAAATTTGTCAGTAACCTACTTTGAAACCATATTATATTTTGTTAATTTATTATTTCTTATACAATTTATACAATTCAGCACATTCCAAGAAATTTTCAAAATATGACTTTTGTTGGGGCAAAAATATGCATTGTTATACCTTTAAAATTTGTTCCTATACAAATCTGTATGAAAAAAGTCTAACATTTGTAATGTTTTGCTGAGCGGGCAAAAAAAATTGATGTTGGACCGCTGAGCGAGATGTTGGACCGATCGGTGAGATGTTGGACCGCTTACGTCACAGAGTGGCGGAGCTTAATCTCATTTTCAATCGTTGGTGTTCAACAGTGATGGACCTCATGTTACACCACGGAAGACAGTACAAAATACATGTATGTCAAATATAGTAAAATAAAATGAAAGGTATAACAAAACATTTATTAACTGAGTTCTCGGGCAAAATGTGTTTTGTCGACCCTCAAACCAAACTGTCTGCCTTCGGCCTCAGTATAATGTATAATACTAGTATACCGCATACTGTATAATCCCTATTACAGTGTAACTGCCCCGGGCGCTTAGAAAATTGCGGAAAGGGGGCGGTTGTTTTGATATTCTTGCTAGAATTTTGAATGTCATATTTTAACTTCAAGAAATCTTTTGGAAAAAAAACAAATAACAGAGAACCACTAAAAATTGTCTAACCTTCCTTTAAATTACAATAATCCACCCAAATTATGCTATATGATTCATTTTCCAACCTCGAAATTAGGGAATAGACAAGGAGAACAAATTTTGTACTTGTATTATATAATTTTCACTTTCAGAAATACATGGTTAGGTCGTTCTAAAAATCTTTCACTTTCCAGAATATTTTATGTTTGAGTTACCTAATAACAAAGTTTCATTTTCACTTTCTTCATTTTGGCAGACTTTTGATACGACTAGATGATTTTGATCACTGCACAGGGGGCCCTTATTTCCTGACAATTGAAAAAGACCAAGGGGTGGGGCGTTATCAATCAGCCAAACTGTTCATGAAATTTATTAGGACCCGACACTCTTAACCAAACTTTGTCACATTTTTTTAATTTTAATTTTGATTCATACATCATTATATAGTAAAGAGTGTTTCGGCGGTTTTTTAAAAAAACGGCTATATGCCCTAAGGCCCGCCTCATCAGGGGTCCACCTTAGCAGTTGTATTCTTGTGGTAAACGTGATCTAATAATCATATCTCCTATGCTTTTGTGCTTGCTATAAGCTACAACTGGTTCCGATGTAAATATTTCTTTGCATCTTGTGTCTGTTTTCATTTCATTCCAATATTTTAAGATGCGTCTTTTTAATCCTTTGATTCTCGGATTATATTTTGTAACCATAACTAATGGATTGCAGAGTTTAGATTCACTGTTGTTTTTGTTTAGCATCTTATTTCTGTCCGTTCCAGTTACGTCTGTGAAAATAGGGTCTATTTCTGTATCAGAGTAGCCTCTCTTTGACAAGTGTTTCTTGAAGTCTTGTAGGATTGTGCTGAGGGTTGCATTGTCATTGGTATTTCTCATATGTCTAATGCATTCTCCCTTAATGAAACCTTTGAATACTGCTGGGTTGTGAGAGCTTTCTCTGTGTAGATATTGAAAATTATTTGTTGGTTTAATGTACGACTTAATATCTAGTTTGTTGGATTCTTGGAATTTTTTTCCTTTGTACACTGTTGTGTCTAAAAAATTCACAGAATCAGAGATTTCAAAAGTGAATTTCAAATGCGGGTGGCATTGATTGCCAATTTGAAAGAAATCAAGAATTTCATTCTCAGACCCATTGAAAATAATAAAGCCATCATCTCTAAATCTGCCGTGAAACAAGACTTTATTGGCATACTTTGCGCCATGATTGATTGAGTTATCTGGAACATTCTTATATCAGATACCTCAGGGGAAACAGTTGAACCCATTGCGCAACCGATTATTTGTTTGTAATATTTTCCATTAAACTCAAAATAATTATTTTCAAGTATGCACTTTAGAAGAAAACCTCGGGATAAGGCAGATCTGATAAATCTCGTTTGTAATTTCGGTAGGCCTCTTCAACAGCGCTTAATAATTCATCAAACTCCATGTTAGTATACATACTTGTAACATCATAAGTGATCAGTATGATTTGCGATGGTAAGCATAAGGCTTCGATTTTAATGAAATCCGTAGTATCCTTTATGTACGTCTTTTTTGAACAATCGGGATTAGAAAATAATCACAGTAAGCACCAATCCTCTGTGTTGGTGTATCGCATTGTGAAATAATTGGTCGCCCAGGTGGTAGCCGTCTGAGGCTGCAAGTGCCGTTCATAAGGGCAGTCATGATTTTATCTTTGATCTTGTGTATTTTAGGGAGCAAGTATAAATGTCCGCATTTAAGGGACGAATCGCTATCACTTAGATAACGATATGTTTCTTTGTCTAAAGCTCCTCCAATAAACATATCAGATATTTTTTATTGTATGGTATTACGTAAATGTGACAAATCAGGTTTTTCAACTTCAAGGTAGTGTTTTGATTCAAGTTGACGTAAAGCTTCAGTGACATATTTATCTCTGTCCATGATGACCACAGTGTTACTTTTATCAGCTTTTTTGATTACAATATGGCGATTGTTTTTTAATGAGACCAATGCCGCCCTTTCCTGGTTAGTTAAATTATCCCGATATTGTTTTATTGGCATAGATGATAATTCTAATTTGGTTTTGTCAATATAATTTTCAAGAGCACCGCATGCCTGATCGGGTTTATAACCAGTAGATGTTCTGAAGGGATGAAGTTTATTATTTTCCCCGGTATCAAAGAAGAATTTGCATCTGAGTTTTCTAGAAAACTCGTCAAAGTCCTTAAGGAGAAACCTTTTGACATTGCTGCTTTGTGGTGACGGGATGAATTTAAGTCCTTTGGCTAGCAGTATGTATTCGTTATCTTGAAGACCACATGAGGATAAATTAAGAACAAATTTTTTTGCATTTATTACGCTTGCTCTGTGAATACGTTGTTTATGAGCAAATGCATTAGACGCTCTTAATACACTTTTCTTCTGTTTATCTAGACGCCTGAAACGTCGCGCCATTGTTAGAAACGGCTTGAATATCTTATAACTCTAATGGTGTAAGATTGAATTAATTATCTCAGAGGATAAATGATGTTGTTGATAATATAATAAAGCACCACGTCTATTATACGTCTGAGCGTATAAATAGAGGGTAAACCAATAAGTGCCGATTAATTATAATAACACCACGTCTATAATACGTCTGAGCGTATTGATAGAGGGTATAAGGCACATACGTAATAGATAATAAAATTCCCGTGTATAATTTGCAAAGCAAACAAACAAGTGGCACAAAAATTAATCCTGCCGTGCTTACTCGCACTGGCTAAATAAAAGCAATGTCAAGATTAAAGAAGCGCGCAGAAGCGATAAGCCACGCCTCCTTTCAGTCAAACTGAAGCTAATACAATCAACCAATAGGTGACCATGTTGTTGGTCAAATGTTTTAAGAAGTAAAAACACAAGTTCTAAAATAATTAGAGATTATAATATAAGGAATATTGCATTCAAAACAAACAAAGATGTAGCTTCCTTGATAATATCAATGTTATTTAAAACGACAAAGTAGTTAAAATGTACAAGTATTAGACTGGTCTATACATTATGAAATTATTGTACATTAAATAAGATCCAAACTGCATAATATTTTTAATCCGCCCGAATATTCGATAGACCTCACTAGGAAAGTTATTCCATATTGCAGATGTCAC